CTCCCCCCCCCCCCCGGGCAAAAAAAAAAAAAAAAAACCTTTGTCCTTGCAGTTGCATTTAAGATTTTGAAACCCTAACCGAAGATCTCAAGAGAACCCTAACCGGAGCTAAACTTGAGATCTCGGCGATTTTGTTTTCTAGGGTTTATGAGATGTGTTTGATGAGCAAATAAAAACAGAGAAGTCCTTTTACAATATTAAGAAACAGGTTAAACTGGTCATATATGGGTATTTCTGGTCGACCCAATGAAAAAATGGGTAATTTGGTCCACCCATATACGATCTGCACCCATTTATCTAGACACATGTTGTTAATAACGGGTCGGCACGGGTCAGGTCAGGTCCGGGTCAACATTGACACCCCTAAGTAAGTGAAAGAAGAACTTACCGATTCCTCACCCTAGCATGTAGGTTCATTTCTATGAACCAAAGAAAATAGTAACTCTATCTTCATACATTACCCAAAAGAATCAAGCCAACTAAAGCTTAGATAATCAGTGGAAGCACAATAACAGCTTGTACATAAGGAACCATTAATTTTGACTAGGTAAAATTTTGGGCAATCCCATATTATAGATTCATAATGGACCACACAAGTGAACGAATAAAAGGGAATAACACCACATTAAATCCTTTTCCACCACATTCAAAATGAGTAAGATAAAAGAAGCAAAAACCACAAGAAATATGAAGGTGAACAATGTATGGCAACGTGACCTACATTACCATTTATTTACTTATTGCGCGTAAATTATAGTCTAAGAATCTTTTATCTTCCATGATAAAAACTCTTAGAACAGATCAGGACTGCAATAGCTAGTTCTATGATTGATCATAGAGAACAGATAAAAACCTTTGGTATCATGTCAACATTGTAATCTCTGTTGGAACCTAAATGAGCTGGTGGCTTGTCACTCCCCCTAAACCTTTTCCAGAGCTGCAGAAACAAAAAGATTGGTTCTTAGGAAGATAAAATAACTTAAAACATTTAAGTAAATCTTTATCTAGTAATATGACCTAACACAAAGAGAATAAAATTATGGAACAAGCAATATCTGCCAACGTCAATTTTGACCAATTTTGGCAGTAGCTAAGCATTATATTCAAGTGTTGATGCTGCAGGTATGTTTTATGAGCACAATATTATAATAATCTAGGAACATGCATATCTCATCAGAAGGTACTAATTTCTTAAGTGTACACATTCAATGGATTAAATATCGAAAATATCGGATGGCCAAAATCCATATCGGATTGCGAAAATCGGGGATATGCAAAAAATATTTGGGTGTCATATCAGATGATGTTCATATGTAACATAACAGTGTAATATGTAATCAATACATATTTAATGTATTCAAACCATAAGAAATTGCATCATGAATAATGATATACGACATGTAGAGACATTAGATACAGGTAGAGGTATGAGAGAGAGAGAGAGAAGACATGAACAGAGGAGAGAGGAAGACAAAGAGAGAAGTTGAGAGAGAGGAGAGAGGAAGAGAGACAGAGGGGTCTGAGGAGGAGCTGAGAGAGAGGAAAACTGGAGGACAGAAAGAGAGAGTGGAGATAGAGGGGAGCGATTTGTACATGAGATCGCCTAGCGTTTCTGAGCTGGAATGCCAATCGAAGAGGGAGGAGAAATATGGGATTAACTAGGGATTTAAGAAATTTGCGTTTGGGAATTTATTAAGTTTCGGGTCTGGTGGGAGCCGGAACTAAACTCAAACACAATAACCCTTTTCATTTGGATATTAGCCAATATCGACCGATATTTCTCAATGAAATATCGGCCGATATTTCCGATATATCGGAAAAAAGTGGTAAAAACTAGAAAATAATATTTTTTTCATAAATATTGCATCGAAAGGGCATCAAAAACTAATATATCGGCCGATATTTAACACACTGTACACATGTAATTTAAGCTTTGTTCTTGCCTGGACAAGATTGAGGGAAGTTGATTCCCCTCCATAATAGTCATTCCTATCCATATGAAGAACCTGACCAGCATTGGGAAACAAAAAAAAATGTTAACAATAAACATAAGACTTAACTAGTTGAGCAATGAAATTCAAACATATATTTATCATCCCATCATATCTTCTTTGTAAAAAAAATGTAATGTAATGTAATGTAATCCTATATTAGGTATCCATCAGAAAGTACTGAAGTAAATGACAACTACAGAAATTAGATGAACTGCAGGGCCTTTTCTTGATTCAGACAATTGATGTCTCGATGACCAACAAAATGGACAAGTCACCAATCTTGAATATCTTTCAAAGCCACTACAAATTCCGTGATCATGCACTCGTGAAAAAAAAAACCAGGCTTCCCACTGCAATAAGTTTAAATTCTTCCAAGTTCAAGCACCCAGAAAAAAGAGTATAGATAATCTGATAGGAGCTAACTGGCACCTTATCACTAGTCCTGTTTTAAAAAGGGACTACTCAATTTTACTTGATTTCCCATATTACAAGAGGAAGCAAGACATAATGGAAAATAGTCACAACTATTTAAGAATGAAGTCGTAATACAATAGAAATTTGGGCCAAAATTTTGGCTGTTAAGCAAGCCAGGTAGAATATTATAGATAAATTGCACAAACAACCAAATTACAATAGGAAATTTGTCCTTTTTCACCAGAAACAAATAGAGAAAATTTTCATAGGGCATGTGAATGAAACTAATTTAGCAACAAAAATATAAAGGTAGCTGAACAAAAGAAGTTCCTAATACACCAAGTTCATGAGAGAGGTTGCTTATAACTATTCAAAATCTTTATAAGTTTTCCAAATGTTCTATTGCGGCCTGTTTGTTGATGCAGCATATTAGAAAAGCTTAGTAAACTGGTTACTTACAAATCATCTAAAATCTAAATAAGAAGTAAATTCCAGACCCAAAGATCATGACAACAGATTAAGATTCTATAACTATGATAGCACAAGTCATAATGTACTAGGAAACAGAGAGTTTAACTGTACAGATTTTAAGCATCAACCGATAACACAGACTATTAGAATCAAAAGTTCATACAACCTGTTTTTTGGTTAAGTCTAACAAGAAACTATTAATTTTGGAAGAATGGACTATTCAGGAACATTTCATGTAAGATAATGTTAAATTGTTAACAACTACAAGACTGCATCAACTTTTCTTCTTCAGCTATGTTATGAGCCATCTATTCAGTTAACATCCATAAGATATGAAACAAAATTAAATTTTGATGAAGGTGACAGACAGTTCAGTATTGTCAACATGAATAACAAAATAACACTTATTATTGAACATTGCAAATCTGAACATGAAACTTTGAACGCGAAGACCGCATATGTCCTACATAAACAACAGTTTAAGCACAATATTGAATTAAGATACCAAATTTTAACTAGATGGAGGCAGAGAAAATGTAATACTCCAAAACCTTTTCTTTCTCTACTCTTGACCATAGCAAAATCAAGGGGCACAATGCGAACAAAATATACTGGTTTAAAAAAAAAATATTCTCAAGGTTATTATCATTGACTCCGAAAAATCCGTAGCAAATTTTCAAATTTTCAAAGGCCATATAGCTGAGCAAGATATGAAGAGAAATTACAAGAAATCACTCATTAGTATAATAAATATAATAGCTTAGAATCCCAACAACAGAGCAAAGTATCAGCTATCCGAGGGTAAGATGCTTGACATAAACAAAAGCGTAAAACTCGGCAAAGAAACACACACAGTAAAACAATCTAATATCTAAAAGTTAAGATCCAATCTCATAATAGGTAAGACTCATATCCAATCATAGATCAAATTATGAAAGATCTAATTTTTAAACAATTCCAATTTCTTATTAATCAAAGAACTACATCTAAACATCTAATCTAAGATCACGTGTCGATCAACTGAATTCACAAAAAGCTTCACAAATATCATCCTTTGTAGATTATCCACTTAGATCCAGATCGAATTGAAAGAAACCAATAAAACCCAGTTCAAAATTGAAGGAGTTAAATAAAAATCTGACGCAGATGAAAAGGGGGAGACTAGACCTTGAGGCCATCAACAGAGAGAAGGCCACTGAGGATGCACTCTTTGAGGCCAGTTCCAAGCACAATCACATCGTACTCTTCATCCATGGCGATCGTGAGAGAAACAGAGAGGGTTTTCTTTGTGAAGTGAAGAAGACAGCAGAGGATTCTTTATGTCTCTCTCTATTACACAGGGCACAGGGAACGCCGAAAGAAGGGGAGTGCGTAAAAATAATTAGAAGGAGAACAGAGCCTCTGGCTCCGATCACCACGGTGAGAATAGCGGAGCATCTAACGAAATGGGCTGGGCTTTTTCCCGTTTTCTTATTTCATTAGCCCAATCTGCACACGACAGTATAAATAATGAATTTTTTATTTTTATTTATTTTATTTTATTTATTTTTATAAACATGGTAAGAATAATGAATAAGTACTTCTTTTTTAGTTGCAGGTACATCAATTATTTTTCTACAAATTTTTAGAAAATCCTATATACATAGATAGTTGATGCTTAAACAAAAGTCTATACTAATATGTAGAGTTTTCAGTTAAACCTTGAAACTTCACGGTGATAACAAATATTTAGCTTTGATTTTATAAATGTATAAATTTGTAAATATGCTGATTTATCAACTGAAAATTATAGGCTTTTACCAACGTCTAAAAATTTTGTCAACTCCTACATTTTGGACTTCTACAACTTTTGCTACTTTAACTCTTACAGATAACTTATCCATCGGGTCACCTCGGACAATCAAGAGGTTCCGATATGGCTCCCAAGGTTTTGATTTGATTTCGGACTAGTTTATAAAAATGCAAAAACTATTACAAATGACTTTATTAAGTTTTTCATCAGATTAGATCTTGTGCACCACGTAACCTTTGCTACATGATTTCTTTAAATTCAAAGCCTATCTGATCCTAAAGTTTAAGTTGCCAAATCTTAATTCCCTCTCCGTTGTCTTCCCATACTTTGTATCATTGTTTGGCAGCAAGAATGCGGATTGCAATGTAGTTCATGCTGATTCAGTGTTGGATTGTACAGTCGTGTTTAACGAAATACTAGAACAGAGAACGATAGACGCTATTGAGGGGATTGGGCATTGTAGGCTTTTGTGTACATGTGTAAATATATCAAATGGGGGCGAGATTAATCCCAAGAGGAGCCCCTCCAACGCTCAAGGCAATCAGTTATAGTTAAAAGAGAAACATGCTATAGTTTAAAAGGCTTTGATCTTAGCAAAAGATAAATGAGAGGTGTTGAAGTAAATGGCTCAGAGACTCAATCTCCATTGTCCACTGTCATAAGGTGTTGGATCATCCCACTAGACATTGTGAAGTCGAATAAAGAAGATATGGTTTTTCTTCTCCTGCAAGGGAATACGCACATCCTCATCTTGAGTGACATGCATCTCCAAACTATAATCGGCTACAACTAAATCCTACAAAGCATGTGATATCAAACTGCATAGTAAGCAACCAACAAAGATTATCCAAAAGCAACTAAAGCGTCGCAATAGGAATTCTCGTTTCACAAAGGAAACAAGAACCTTAAGCAAAATATCTCAACAAAGTGAGCTATCAGCTCTTCCTCTCATCAGTTCTAGGACTGACTTGTCAAGGGAACCTAAATAAACTATTACAAATCACACAAATAGCGAGACAATCAATTTTACGTGGTCCGGCAAATTACCTACGTCCACGGGGAGGGGATGGAGAGATTCCACTAAACCAATGAGAGTACAAAGGGTTACAATCTCACAAAACTCACAAACTAATCCTCAACCAAAGCTCTCAACTTGCTCACAATATCTCCCTCTCACAATGCTCAAAAGTCTCTCTAATCTCTGATTAAAACTCTCCTCTTTTTTTTGATTGATCCTAATCTTCCATATATATAGAAAACCTAAAACCAAAACAGACTAGGAATCCTAAAACAAAAAACAAAACAAATTAGGAATCCTAATAATTTGTTACCAAAACAGATTAGGAATCCTAATAAACTCATGTTATCAAAATAGATTAGGAATCCTAATAACCTCATGTTACCAAAATAGATTAGGAATCTTCCTATCCAACAATTCTCCACCTCGGCGAAGTATTCCTAAAACTGAGCCGACACCAACATGAGCACCAATGCGTCGTCTCACCAAATTCGGTTGCACCAATGTGGTTGCCTACGTACCCCCTCTCCCAAGAGATCAAGCCGCCTGTAGTTTATCCAATGGCCGTTAATGGCCTCAACAATCACGAATGTGCAACAAGTTTCGACAATGATCAAACTTATTGCTCGGAACCATCTTAGTGAGTATATCCGCCGGATTATCCATCGTGTGAACCTTCACAAGTTTTACATCACCATCTTTAAGAACATCCCGAACGAAGTGATAACGAACGTCAATGTGCTTCGTTTGTTCATGAAAAACTTGATTCTTCGCCAAATAGATAGCACTCATGCTATTACAATAAATAGTGACGGACCGTTGCGATATATCAAGTTCTTCCAAAAGTCCTTGAAGCCAAATAACCTCCTTTACAGCCTCTGTAACTGCCATATACTATGCCTCCATCGTAGACAAATCTACCGTCGACTGTAAGGTGTATCTCCAACACACCGGCGCACGGGTCAAAGTAAACACATACCATGTAGTAGACCGGTGCTTATCCAAATCCTCGGCATAATCTGAATCAACATAGCCAATGCATAACTACCCACCTGTAGTGTCCCGCTCATAAATCAAACAACATTGAGCATACCTCGAATGTACCTTAAAATCCATCTTACGGTATCCCAATGACCCACTCCTAGATCGTGCATGTATCTCGAAACCATGCTCACCGCCTGTGACAAATCTGGTCTCGTACATACCATCGCATACATCAAGCTCCCAACCATGCTCGCATATGGAGTCTTCGACATCAACTCTCGATCTTCAACTGACTTCGGTGAAAGGTTAGCTAAAAGCTTAAAATATGCTCCCAAAGGTACACTAACTAGCTTTGTATCCATACTAACATGAAATTGCTATAGAACCTTCTTCAAATAAGCCACCTGTGTCAAACAAATTCTGCCCTTCTTAGGCTTCGACGCTTCGGTGGCATGTTTTTCGAATATCAAGACCCTTTGTGAAATGGTCCTTGGGCAACTACGTTTTAATAATACTACCTTGATAAGCATCTCGTATGGATAGTGAGAGTTAGTTTCTCAGACATCATCTTTTTGAGATTTATTCACACCCCTAGCCTGATGGTGCAGCTCATTAGAGCAATCCATCGCTTGTTGGCGTGATGCCCCGAGTATAATGTAGTCTTTTGACGGACACATCTTGTCACGCCCCACTTCCCAAAATACCCGGGAATCGGAACTTGAACAAGCCCGCGACGTATTAGATTGAGAAGAAATATACACTATTATTATTTTTCTCTTTTCTTCACAATCCAATACGCTAAGCATCTGGAAATAATACAATGCAAGGGCACAGGTCCCCGATCACAATCAGCAAGAATATAATGAACAACACATAATAAAATAATACATATCATAATGAATATTCATCCCAGAAATAATTTTCGGGTCAACATGCCCTTATACAAAACTATATGAACAAAGGAATACTGGAGAAAATAAAATACAATGATCAAGCGAAAAAGGAAATGCTACAAAAGAAACTAGGATCATCATGTAAGAAGAGGTAGCTGAACTTCGGTCTATTCTTCAACTCTATCTGCAAGGCACTCCTACTGAGAATCCTTTGGCTCTTGACGATCTCCCAGCTGAACATGTTCTTCCTCTAAGTCTGACGTACACCAGAGAAAACAGGTGTATGTCAGCGTGTATGCCATACGGCAAGACCCCACAAAACAAAAAGAACAACGAAAACCAAAACGAAAACGTTACAACAACAAAATGATAAAGAAACGTGCAACAGAAATCTAATGAAATCAATCAAGTAATAAGTCGACAATGCAGCTAGCGATCAGAAATCATCCAAGTCACAAGGTCATACAACTAGATGGAATTAATACTTAAAAATATATAACTCGAGACGTAGTACGTCGAGCGAAATAATCCAAACAAGGAAACACTCATGTATATACCATATGTCTGACGTAGTACGTCGAGCGAAATAATCCAAACAAGGAAACACTCATGTATATACCATATGTCTCGAATTGAAAATAATTAAATATTAATCCCGATCTATGTATGAAGAGAAACACAACTGGCCTACATCTCACAAGAAATCATACCTAGCCAAGAAACGAGGTCATGTAACTAGCCATTCTATAACAGGTCACTGGTCACATCTCACATAGAGTTAATGCTCATATCATCGGATACTGACTATTCACAAATCCCCTACATGCATCCAATCTCGCGAAACAGGCGGCTAGAGAACTACACGCAATCCGATCTCGGCCCGGTCCGAACTCAGGCAAAGCTCATGTGACGAAACAGGTCACGGATCAAAGTGACGAAACAGGCCACAGATCAAAGTGACGAAACAGGCCACAGATCAAAGTGACGAAACAGGCCACTTTGTCCAACAAACCAACCCCAGGACGAAACAAGTCACTGGTGCGAGTCTGGAAGATACATCAACAGTCTTATCCGATCATATGAATATTAACTTTCTCATCCCAACTCATCTCGCTTTTCTAAGTCAACACAATACATGTCTCTAGGTCACGTAAGGCTATTACGGTCATGACCACTAACAGTTCTCAATCACAACCAGAAATAACGAATACGAATGATCATGTACAATAATTAAGAATCAGAGATCATAAAATTGTTCTAAAATAATCCCTTTTACAAAATGAGTTCTTTCAAAATAAGTTATTTTCTCATTACGATAATTCTAAAAATAATATTTTAAAATAATAAATTCATAAATTCAAAAATAATCTTTTTATAAGATAAATTCTCATTAAATCAAAATAGTCTATTTTCCCAAAATAATTTCCTTTTTTAAAATTATTTATCATTCTAAAATGATTTCTTCCACAAGATAATTTCTAAAAATTATTATAATTATTCTAAAATGATTCTTTTTCTAAGATAATTCCTTTTAAATTATTATAATTTTCCTAAAATAATTTTGTTCTCAAATAAATTCTTTTTAATTAATATAATTGTCCAAAAAATGATTCTGCTACCGAAATAAATTCTTTTAATTTATCATAATTATTCTAAAAATACTAATTATCACATAATT